TACAGAACTACAGGAAAAGCGTTGTAGAATGTGAATCCCACAACAATACACATGAATATACTTTGCGATGTTTGCCAAAACTGACAAATCTTTTTAAACCATTGGAGATTTGAATGGAAGCACCTTTTTAAAAGAATGACTTAAAGTTAACTGGTCGCATGGAGAATTCAGAAGTGCTATTACCTTCCATTAATTTTTGTAATTTATGGCAGAAATTTACATGATATGAGAGGGCAAGCGAGTTGGTGAAGACTGTTCTGAGTTCAAATCCAGATTGCAAACTCTGACAGCTGCAAGATTCTGAAATGAGCTCAGACTGTTTTTGTCCAGTCCCCATGGTGCAAGTCCACAGTATTGCCTTCAATTCAGCAGTAATTGTCGGTAATTGAGTCACTAGTACAGGTGGCATATTAAATGGAATTGTCAAACTGCAGGAATGGGATGTTGTCTCAGAGGTTGGTGTTAAAGTAGGCTCTTGTGGACTTTAAGAAAGAAATTTGATTGCTTGGCTCTGGAGCCATTGAGAATTACTTGCAACATTGTACAATTGCATAATTGTTCTGCGAGTTGTACTAATTTTTATTTTTAAAATTATTTTCATTTCCTTGCATTATGGATGACTAGTGAAAAGAATAAAAATAATACTGTACCAACATTGCTAATCAGTCTGTGTTTCCAAAGAAAGCTACTCTGCTTGGCAAGCTGAGCAATGTGACATGAATACTTACATTAATCTGAAGCAACAAAGTGGTTCATATTCATCGTTTTTACATATTTTTGACTGATTCCTATCTGTGTTGACACAGGAGGAAATCTCTCAGACAAAGACTTGACAATTTTCTAATCCTTAAATATACTCTGCTAACACTTTGGCATTTGGTTGGGCAGTGATTCAATTCAATGTTGCTTTGAAAAACTTTGCAAAGGAGTTTTCAACATTGTCATCCATCATGTAAGCATATTGCACTCCTTTTAGGCAAAACCAGAAATGAAAATCAGCCCTTTGCATTTACAAGTTCATGAAATTGTACACTTGAACTCACGACCTTCCCTCTCTATTCAGACATTTTACTGTCTTTCAACTGAGTCTATATTTCAATGCCTTGTTAGTCCTGCCATTATGTATTTATATAAGACTGTTCTTGTGAAGTAGATCGACATTTATTGCCCATTTGTAGTTACTGTTAAAGGCAGTGATGATTCACTTCTTGAACCACTGAAGTCTATGTGGTGTAAGTGAACAAAAGCACTGCTGGTGGGCTTGAAGTTTCTGGACTTTGACTCAGCAGAAGTAAAGGAATGGTTCCAAGTCAGTTTGGTGTGTGGCTTGGATGAGAACTTCCAGGTGATGGTATTCCATGCATCTGCTGCTGTGTCCTTGTTGGTGGTTGAGATCACAGGTTTTGGAACACACTGTCAAAGGAGATGGGTTACTATAATGCAATTTGTGGATGGCAGGCTGATGCTCCTTGCGGTTTCCTATGTTAGCCCAAATACCACAAAAACTGAGTTCTTGTTGAATCAGTCATCACGGAGTTTATTTAGAACACTAATTGTTACAATGCTAACATATTACAGACTTACACACATATTCTGGGTTCCGGGCGTGCTGATGTTCCTTTACATTACCTACACAACTGACTGACTACACTGAGTCCATTATACAGAGAGAGAGACTAAAGGTGGAGCATATACCTTTCCACCAGAATGTCACTTGTTGTGATATCATGTAAATGTCTCAAAGATATAGACCTATACACCTATTGCTGGTGTAGTGGACAGTGAAGAACATTACCTCAGAGTACAATGGGACCTTGATCAGATGGGCAAATGGGCCCAGGAATAGCAAATGGAGTTTAACTTAGATAAATGGGAGGTGCTGCATTTTGGTAAGGCAAACCAAGGCAGGACTTGTACACTGAATGGTAAAGTCCTAGGGAGCGTTGAGGAACAAAGAGGCCTTGGAGTGCAGCTTCATAATTCTTTGAGAGTGGAATCGCAGATAGACAGGGTAGGAAAGAAGGCATTTCGCTCACTTGCCTTTATTAGAGAGTGCATTGAGTATAGGAGTTGGGAGATCATGTTGTGGTTATACAGAATATTGGTTGGACCAATTCTGGTCTCCCTACTACACGAAAGATGATGTGAAACTTGAAAGGGTTCAGAAAAGATTTACAAGTATGCTGCCAGGTTTGGAGGGTTCGAGCTATAGGGAGAGACGAAACAGGCTGGGGCTATTTTCCCTGGAGTGTCAGCGGCTGAGGGCTGACTTTATAGAAGTTTATAAAATCATGGGGTTCATAGATAGGGTGCATAGCCAAGTCTTTTCTTCAGGGTAGGAGTGCCCAAAACTAGAGGGCATAGGTTTAAAGTGAGAGGGGAAAGATTTAAAAGGGACCTAAGAAGCAACCTTTTCACGCAGAGAGTGGTGCGTGTGTGGAATGAGTTGCCAGGGGAAGTGATGGAGGCTGGTACAATTACAATATCTGAAAGGCATCTGGATGAGTATATGAATAGGAAGGCGTTAGAGGGATATGGACCAAATGTTGGCAAATGGGACTAGATTATTGTAGAATATCTGATAAGCATGGACGAGTTGGACAGAGGGGTCTGTTTCCATTCTGTACATCTCTATGACTCTATATGGAATCTGTGCCATAATACAACGGAGACTGTCACAACTACAATAAAACTCAAAAAACTACAGATGCTGGAAATCTGAAACAAAACCAGAAAGTGCTGGAGAAACTCAGCAGGTCTGGCAGCAACTGTGGAAAGAGAAACAGAGCCAACATTTGAAATCTCTCACCACAGATGCTGTCAGACCTGCTGCCACTACTGTGCATGGGTGTTGAAGGGTGTGAATGTTCAAAGGTATGGTTAGTGTGCTGAATAAAAGGTTGCTTTATCCTAGATGTTATCAAATGTTTTGAGAGTTTTTTTGGAACACCAACCCAGGCAAGTGGAGAGGATTTCCATCACAATCCTAACCTAAGAAAAATGAAAGATACCTGTGTCTTTGTGATTTCAGGAAGTGAGTTACTGGTTGCAAAATCTCCAGGTTCCAACCTCAGCTTTGACCCATCATACTTTATATGGGTGGTCCAGCTCAGCTTTATGTCAGTGTTAATCTTAACTCTGTTTCTCAATGCCATCAAATGTCAATGTAGGGATGATTAGATTCTTGCTCATTTGGAGATTGGTCTGGTATGTGGCAAATATTGCTCACCAGATCAGTCCAACTCCAAATGTTGTCCAGGTCTTGCTTTTGTGGGCAAGGACTGTTCTAGTATCTGTCAAGTCATAAATGGTAGTAAACATTCTGCAATCATCAGTTAGCATCCCACCCAGACCCACCCTCCTTTCCCATGTAACCCTGCATTTCCCATGGTTAATTCATGTGACCTACACATCCCTGGACACTATGGGCAACTTATCATAGCCAATCCACTTAACCTGCATATTGTTGGACTGTGGGAGGAAGCCAGAGCACCCGGAGAGAACCCATGCAGGCATGAGAAGAATGTGCAAACTCCACACAGACAGTCACCTGAGGGAGGAATCAAACCTGGGTCCCTGGTGCTGTGAGGCAGCAGTGCTAACCACTGAGCCACCATGCTGCCCTAATCAGTAATCACTAACCACGTTTTGAGGCAATTACTTTCAGGTTTATAAAAAAGCTTGTTTATGACTTTCTCAGTTTTTTTCAACATCTGGAAACAGTTTATTTCTGTGTACTGCATTAACTTTAAAGAACTGGCCTTTTGGCTCCCTGTAAGATGGAGGTGGAGGAGGGTTTCTGAGTCCGGGGCTCGTCTGCTTTTCTTTTTGTTTCTTTCTTTTCTCTCTGGTTTATTTTATTTTACTCATCTGTTAGTGAAGAGCTCGGGTGAGGCGACGCCATCGGCAGTGGAGAGTAGGTCCAGCATGCAGATGCGCGGCAGCGGCATCGAAGATGAGTTTGGGTTCCCAACGACTTCCGCATCTTCGTGGCGCTCCTGGCACTGACTCATGGCTGTTGCTGCTGCTGCACAGGCAGTTTTGGGCTCCCAGCAGCATCTGTGTCCAGTGCAGATTCATGGAGGCAGCGACAGAGGTGGGCTTGGGCCCATTATGAGACCCGGCGGCATCAACAAGGTGAGCCCAGAGGCAAGGACATCAGCGGAGGCAAGATGGCATCAAAGAGTGACCAGCAGTGGCACTACGAAGGGGACTTGTGCCTGGCCACCAGGCCCATGGCCCATGGTGGAGCTCTTAACAAGAAGAACTGTAAAGTTGGACACTTTCTTTATCCCTTAATTTTTCTGCCTTTATATTCTGTCTTGGTTTATTTTTTGGTATTTTAAGATGGTGCCATAGAGCGGTGAAACTATAGAACACTTTTCACCGTATTTTGTAACAAGGTACATATGACAACAAATAAATCAAATCAAATTAACAGAAACATAGCTGGCATCGCAGGCCCAAACAGCTGGTGTTTGAAAAAATTAGCTCTAATACATGATGCTCCATATTGCAGCAAATTAACACAATATCAAGCAGGAAAAATGAAAGTAGTTCTTATTAAACTAAATAGATAAGAATGTACATTTCTAGTAACCACATTATTCCATTGTCGGTTAGTTTATTATAATACTTCAGATTTGGAAAGATTGGATGATTTTGCAGCCATTTTACCATGCCCTCAAGACTGAACAATCTACAACTTCCACAACGAGAAAAATAGTAAATTAATGAAATTTAATAAAATATGCTTATCTGTGTATTGTCAGTATCTTTATTTTAATAGAACCTATTTTTGTTAAAACACATCACCAGAAAATGTAGATATTTTCAAACTATTAAAAATCATTATACTTTACATATTATTTTGATACTTGAGAATCAATTTGTACATTGGACGGGATTGTAAAATAATTTACTTTCAATATTTGCCATGTGTTGGACATCCCAGTATGTACACACAATAACAAATAATGACAATACTGTTTTTCTCTTAGGACCCAATTGTTTTGCAGGAGTCACTATAATCCCAGCTGGACGAGAGGTGAAGATTGATGAATGCACAACTTGCCATTGCTCCTATGAAGATGGCACTTGGAGAGTTGATCACCAGGCCACTTGCATCAAGAATGACTGCAAGGAAATATAAACAAAAGATCGTGTGGATAAAGATTTTTTTTGCTATATTGAACATAAAATGGGACTGAATGAATGGTGTTTTTGTACATTCTGTATTGCATACCATACTTATATTGAATTAGTCATGTTATTTGTACTAAATCTGAGCAATAAAAAGTGACTAGTATATTTCAAGCATCACAGTCTGGCATTTTTTTAGATTTTCAGTGGATGGTAGACGTTTGAAATATTCTGTTCCAGTCTCCCCATCAGCTGTCACCTCCTGCAATAATACCTGTGCTCCTCAATCAAGGTGCAACATGATGCTTTGAATAAAGGTTAAGAGGAAAGGTCAGCAAGCCATCTAAGAAAAATCAGAGGAGAGTAATGAAAAATAGTGTACTGTCACTATAGCTGCAAATATTTTACATTAGAGTAAATAACTTGAAAACACGAAATGCAAAAGAAACGTGTATAGTGATATTTTATGGGATATTAGCAACAGTTGCTTTGCGTGTTCCAGGACATTATGATTTTATTGTTATTTAATACATCAGTAGTGCTGCTGGAAATCCAAACAGCTTTGTTCTCATTAAGATCATAACATTTTTTACATGGTGTTCTTCTTGATTTGGATTTGGTTCTGGTCATCATTTATTTCTTCTCCTTTTGTCCCTTTTGCACTATACACCTTCTCCAGCCAAGATCTGCTCACAAGCAACTGCCAATATTGTTCTTCACTATATACAAAAAACAGCTGGAAAGGAGGCCCAGTACCCAAACATTTCTTCTGCTCCCTTAGGTAGCACAGCTTTGATCAATTATTTGCAATATGAAGAATAACAATAGAAACTTGTGTCCTGCTTACATGCTGATGATTCATCTCAAATTTTCAAACATCTCCACTATTTATCAAACTGCCAAGAGCTAATTGAAATCACTACACTATTCAAATTCTGGATAATTTCCAATCAAAAAAGAGCAAAATGACAAAATGGAAACTGCTTTCAAGTAGTGCCTCATGCTTCCAGTATTTCACTTTATGGATATTAGCAAGAACAACAAGGAGGCTATTACATGTATAGTTAAGTGCAAAAGCCTGGAAGGTGCTGTCTGCTTGACCTACTCCTCCTGAAACTTCAATAAACTTGTATTTCACCAAGATACTTAGGATTAAAATATATAGAATGGAATCCCATTCTAATAACATACAAAATGTTTGGCATATAAATTTATCTTTACTGATGTAGAATTGCATTCCTCTAAGGCTTAATTATTGTTGGAGACTTTTAAAACATTTTATTTGCTGGTTCAGTCTTTTCCTGCTCACTCTCAATCTGATTTTACAATCCCACTTTTATTTTGTTTTCTCTACATGATTTGGCATTGAATTAAATATTCCTTGCCTCGTCCCTCTGCTGCTTATTAAAAGTTCTTCAGTTTGGTTGAGAAGACACACCATTGCTTGGTCTATTCAGATCAATTCCTGAAAGCTGACAGAAAGTGTTCTTGATTTCTGTGGGCAAATGCAAATGTAATAAGTGGCCAGTACTGTTCATTTTCTGCTCACCACAAAATCAAGGTGGTTATAATCCACTCCTCAAGTACAACTTGATGGATGAGAAAAATCCTGGCAACATGATGCAACCAGTAGTTACCTCAATTTTTGTGGGAATTCCGTGGCTATTCTTTCAATATTATTGTTGATGAGCATGAGAACTAAAGTGGAAATTCACCCTTTAGAGCATTAAGTTATCCTTTGATTGGTGAGTTCATGGTGGGAGTATGAGTACCCATAAACCATATATGTCTATTGCTAATGTGCTGACCTTTCCTGAAGGTGTCTTAATAAGAAGGTTATGTTAGTAGTTGTAGTAGTACACATCAATGAGCTACTGTACTGGAGTGTAAGAGATTAAGAATTGATGTATTATCTGAAACACATTTTTCTAAAGGACAGCCACAAGTAAAGGAAGGATCAGTAGCCTCAGATGTATCAGCTGCAGGATGAGCCTCTGGATATTAAGATACACCCATGGGTGGTTCATCTGTAAAGTGTGATTGCTGGGAACAAATGCAGGGAATCTGTTTCAATTCAGATGGTGTAAAGCAGTAAGTAGTATCTCTACAACACCAAACACGGACTAACAATGCAGGAAGTAGCCAAGAAATGCACAACCACTGAAGTCTATCTATGGGGCAAATATCAGAACAGAAAACCAATTTTACAAATTAAATTACTCTTTGCAACATAGCAGGCATAAGAGCACCACTGAACATACTGGATTTGACACTGTCAACATGCAGGGTAAACACCATATTCTTTTAAAAGCCACTTTATAATATTATAGTAGCATTTATGCACTATCTTAAATATTTTAACAGGTCAATGTGAAAGCATTTAGGGTCTGGGTGAAGCCTTTTAACTCTTTTCATGCTGATTTACTTCTTTTTCTCTTTGCTGGCATTTCAAAAAATTAGGCAAATGTGTTTTTTCTGTTCCTGCTAGTGCAAAGCCCCTCCATTGGTAACTCCAATCTCCTTATGGTCACACACAAAATTTCATTCTTTTGTTAGGAACACTGAAGAGGTTTCAACTCCAGATCAAACACTCCATAGTCCCACTGATGTGTGGAACTGCCCTGGCATTCCTGGAAGAAACTCCCAGCTATGGGTAAATAGCTCCGCTGTCTTGTGGATGCTACAGGAGAGCCAAGAGCAAAATCAGTAAATATTGACAAAAGATCTGGAGTGGAGTGATGCTTAAGTATGTCATCTTTCTAGCAATTCCAACCGAATCTATGCCAAACCTTGTGCACTGCTGTCATTTGAACCCAACCAAGAAGCTCAAGATAGGTAGGGTGCTGATGTTTGGTCAGCCCAGGTTCTCAATAAATTTTTCTCAGACTTGTGACCTGGAGAGAGTGCATTAGTTTCACTGCAGCTTTTGAACTTAACGTAAAATCATAGGAACAGGAGTAGGCCCAGCAGCCTGTTGAGACTGCTCAATCATTTAATACAATCATAGCTGATTGGACACTTTGATGCCTTTTACCCACATGATCCCCAGGTAACCCTTTACACCACTGAGAATCAGTCATGTATTAAACTCTACTTTAAATATTTTCACTGACTGAGCTTTTACAGCTCTCTGAGGGAGAGAATTCCGAAGATTAACCATCTTCCGTATATAAAAATTCTCCTCATCTGTCCTAAGTGGCATCCCCAGTATTTTTAAATTGTGTCCCCGGTCCTAGAATCCCCAACCAGGTAAAACATCTTAATGCGATAAACAAAGTAGATATATATATATTATGTAGGCTTCAGTTAGGTCGCTTCTGATTCTTCAAAATTCTAGAGAAAGCAGGTCCAGATTGCCCAACCTCCCACAATAAGATAGTTACTCTACCTTGGGAATAAGTCTAGTGAACCTTTGTTGCAATTCCTCTATGACAACGATATTTTTCCTGAAGTAAGGAGACCAAAACCACATGTAGTTTACAGGCTTCACAGCCTGAGGATGAATCATATTTCGACTCAATTAACTCTGTTATCCTACAGCCACTAACTCACCGTTGCCAATTTTGTTAGTAACATCCTCAAAAAACTCCAACAAATTTGTCAAATTTGATTTTCCATTAAGAGATCCATGCTGATTATATCTAACCGGAAAATATTATCCAATTATCCAGTTATCACAGCCTTTATGATAAATTCCAGCAGTTTCCTTACTACTGTGTATGGCTAATGGACCTGCAGTTCCCTGGTTTTCTCCCTTGCTTCTTTTCTTGAACAGTGGGAATAACATTTACAAGCTTCCAGCTGGGCTGCTGGAACCATTCCAGAATCTATGGAATTTTAGAAGATGATTAACAAAGCATTGACTATCTCTATAGCTACCTCATTCAACATTATAGGCTGTAGGTTATCATGTCCCAGGGACTTTGGAACTTTCAACCCCCCATTAGGTCATCTGGTACAAACTTCTGAGACAACAAGGTGCAGGGCTGGATGAACATAGCAGGCCAAGCAGCATCATAGGAGCAGAGAGGCTCTCTGCTCCTATGATG